AAAAAAAAAAACCCAAAACTCAAAATGGAAATATATTTTTTGTATTTTTATTTTTTGGCCAAATTTATAAACTGAGACCATCGATTTTTAAATCAAAAATTTTACCAAACAAGTTTTTATTTGAATTTTTTTAATTTTTGTAAATATAAACAGAAAACTGAAAACGTAAGTGTTACCAAACGACAACTAAATATTACCAAACGACACATAAATATTTTATTAATATTATTATTAAATATCTCATATGAATATATAACTCATTATGTAGATTCTATATAAATTTCACATCTATATAAAATATATAATAAAAATGTTAATAAAATGTTTAAAATCTCGAACATTCCACCTACTTGAATGACACTAGTTGCAGAGGCTTTTCCCAATATAAGCCTTTTTTACATTGTATTTTCAAAACTAGGCCAACTTCTGACGGAATTCCAAAACTAAGTTAAAGCGTCATTACTATTCGCGCTTTTACTGTTAGGAGCGCAAAAGTAGATGAACAGCAAAATCGCTATTACAAATAACGACTTTGATTAAGAAGTCGCTGTTATGAATAGCGCTTCTAGGATTAATTTTTTTCCCAAGGAAAACGCTATTAAGAACCGCGCTTTTTACACACAATTTTTTTGCGGAAAAAACGCTATTGCTAATAGCGCTTTCACTGTATATATAATTTTTTTTTTTTTTTTAGAAAACGTTATTTCAAATAACGTTTTTACTGTTGAGAGACACCCACACACACCCAACAGTGAAGCATTGAAATAATATAACTTTTATATATAATAATAATTTATAATAATCAATTATATAATTTTTATAATTTTTGTAAATATAAATTATTTTTAGGTTATGGATGGTTTGATTTATAATACGTATGTAAAGGTACAAATAACACGTATGTAAGGATAAAAAATTTTGTAATCAAAAATAATTTTTGCAATTTTTATAATAAAAAATAATTTATAAATTACCAAAAATAATTTATAATACATATGTATTATAAATTTTTTTATAATAATTTATAATACGTATGTATTATTTAAATCTTTACATTTTTGATTTAAAATTTTTATAAAAATTATGGATGGTTTGATTTATCATTTATCAAAAATTTTACCCTTAAACCATACGTATGTAAATGTGAAGATGGGTTTACTATAAATATAAATGTGAAGATACGTATTAAATTATTTACATACGTATTAATTATAAATTTTTATAAATTATTTTTGAATAATACATACGTATTATAAAATGTGAAGATCGGTTTGGTGGTGGTGGTGGTGGTGGTGGCGGCGAATACGTATTATAAATTATTATAAAAAATTTTATAATACATATGTGTTATAAAATTTTATTAATAATTTATTTTATAAAATAATTATTATATATTTATTAATAATTTATTTAAAGTATATATATAATACGTACGTATCAAAAATAATTTATTTAAAGTAAATATATAAAAATTATATATATAATACATACGGATTATATATAATTTATTTAAAGTAAATACATATATATTATAAATTATTATAAAAAAAATTTATAATACATACGTATTATAAATTTGATTATAAAAATTGCAAAAATTATTTTTGATTACAAAATTTTTTACCCTTATATACGTGTTATAAATCAAACCATCCATAACCTAAAAATGATTTATATTTACGAAAATTATAAAAATTATATAATTTATTATTATATATAAAAATTATATTAAAAGCAATGCTTAGTGTGGGTTGGGTGTGTGTGGGTGTGTGCGTGTGTCAGAGGTGGGTTGGTTTTGGTGGTTGTTTCAACAGTAAAAACGTTATTTCAAATAACGTTTTTTTAAAAAAAAAAAGAAAAATTATATGTACAGTGAAAGCGCTATTTCAAATAGCGTTTTCTTTAGAAAAATTTTTTTATGTTAAAAGCGCGATTTAAAACAGCGATTTATTAATTAAAAGCGCGTTTTACAATAGCGCTTTCACTATTTATTAAATTTTGGGCTCCAAACAGTGAAAGCGCGATTTGTAATAGCGCTTTAGCTTAGTTTGAAAATTCCGTCTAAACTAGGCCTAGTTTGGGAAATAGGATCCAAAAGAGGCTTAGTAAGTCTCCAACTTGGGGCTACCAACCAACCAAACACAACCTAGGTGCTGGAAGCTTTAAAACCCTATAAATTCGCTCATTTTCCACCGCAGCTGCAACTGAAGAGGGAAGAAGGTCTCCATGTCAAGTGGTGTCTATTCCAAATTTGGAGCTCTCTTCAGCAAAGCATTGTAGATCAGGTACTTCTTCTCCTTCCCTCAAATTTTCTTTTTACTTTCTCACTTTCTTATTTTCCTTTTCTAATCTTTTTTCTCTCTCTCTCTCTCAAAATATTGCTAAATATCTTTACACATGTAATAGACCCAAACCATTCTTCTGTTTCTTAATTCTCTTAATTCTTCTCACAAATCCGCAAAAGTGTCCATGTTCACTTCTCCCATGTTTCTCTTTTCATATTTGATTTGTTTACTTCCTCTTTTTTCTCACTGCCTAATTTAATGCCTAGCAATTCTCCCAACTTCACATGACACACCACCAATAATGATATATATACAGATATTCTCTCACAAGAACTACGTGTTTGTTTCTATGACATGCTCTACAATATTCCTTTACATTATTATTGTTATTATTTTGTCACATGGTATATATCAATAGGAGTTCCCTTGTTAGTTGTTAGTAGGGGAAAGGGGTAAGAAAAAAGGTATGAAACCCTTCTCCATAGAATTTGAACCCGCAACCTCACACGACAAAGTGGTGCTACACAACCACTAGGTGAAAGGCCCTGGTTAATATTTCTTTACATTAGTATGATCATTGGTTAATATTCCTTTACATTAATTCATACATTAATATGATCATTGATCCACAACTTTAATTTAACATAACCATTATAAGTTACACTGCTTAATTGAGATTTTACTCTACCATTAATACCACGATTTTATACCATAATGATACATTATTAGTCCACCATAATTGCACAACAAATTACACTTTGGGGTGGGGTATTACAAGAAGAGCTAGGAAATCGAGAGAAACAATAACCTTCCATTTGGTTGCTGAGAAATCTATTGAAATCAAAATAAGTTTTATATATATATATATATATATTTGTTGAATTCTTTTTACATTTCTTAACAAATATTGTATTTTCTTTAATTACATTTAAATTAAGTACATCTAAAAAAAGTGATTAAAAAATCAATAAAAATAAAGGGTAACTACTAATAGGTCATAATAGTTGGATTTAATTATCATAAATTTATATTGAAAATAAATCCTAATAAAATCATCACAAAAAATAATTTTTATAACGATTTTTTTGCATGTCATTAAAAATTGACAATTAGTGTCTTTTTTGTCATATATTTTATGAATTGTTATTAAAACTTATAATTAATGACAATTTTTTTGTGATGAATATTTTAAACTGTCATTAAAAATTGAAAATTAGCAACATTTTTTGTGATGATTTTTTTAAACTATCGCTAAAAACTTATAATTAGTGATATTTTTTTGACAATTTTTAAATAGTTGTTGAAAATTAACACTTAGTGACTTTTTTTAATAGTGTTTGATGAAAAATATCATTAATCATCATATGACTTATTGAACAGTAAGTCTACTTGTTAAGACTTACACAAAAGTTTTCTTAAAACAAATATTACATTTAAATCATAATTATTTCACTTTTTTCTGTTACAAAATTATTACAAAAAATAAAAAATTCATCTCAAATAATTTTTTTTAACCAAACTAAAATAATAAAAAAATTAAATAATAAAGCAAAATTCCCCCCCAAAAACAAAACGAAGCCTAAACTAGTGAAATTTCCATAGAATAGTGAAATTTCCATAATATTCCTTGGCTTATGTTCCCACTGAAACGTCGAATGAGAGAGAGAGAGAGAGAGAGAGAGTGAGTGGGAAAATGACAAATGAAAAAATCTCGCTCGTTTACAACATGAACCCAGTGTGTAGCTGAACCAAACAAGAAGATAAGAGGTCTCTCTCTGTATATTGTTTCCATTCTGTGTCACTATCAGCCGGAGAGAGAGTGAGAGTTTTTAGAGAGAGAAAGCAATGGCGGCATCACCATTCTCTGCAACAAACTCAATTTCACATTCAAATTCGATCTCAAGCTTCGTTAGTCTCAGCCAAAGGTACATGAATTCGAAGCCGTTACTGATCAGACCTCCGCGTTCTCGTCGTTCGCGGAAAAGCCTGACTGTGAAGAACATCGCTAGCGATCAAAAGCGATCACTCAATGACTCTCCTTCCGAAGAAGGTATTGCCATGCTCTGCTCTGTTTTGTGTTTCTATTATTACTGTGTGTGTTGTCAATTTGTTTTTTGGAACTACTTTCATTGCCTTCGAAATCAAATTTTTTTTTTTTTAATTCAAAATGTTAACGAAACAATTCGAAGGAAATCTAGAATTGATAGTTAGTTTATGCTCGGCATTGTGTTAAGGAATTGTATGTGTTCTCAAATTCTACTTTCTGGTGTTTACTGGTTTTCTGCAAGGATGATTAAACCAAGCGTTTGTTTTCTAAGAAAAAATTAGGTGAAATTTTGAGTAATGCTTTTGTTAGATTTATTATTGTTTTCCTGATAAGAAGGAGAAAGGAAAAAACAGAGAAAAGCTTAATTGATTAAAAAATTCTGTGTGTTACACTTGGTTGAACTGAATTTTTCTTCTTTAATCGCATTTTCTGATGCAGCAGAAATATCACACGAGGTTAGATATTGTCTTGAATACACGGGGAAGAAACAAATTATCGAAGAGAAACTGAACAATATTGATGAAAGCTGTTTTTCCCTAAGACGTTCATCACTATTTATGATATACAAATCCAATAGAAACAAAACAAGGAAACACCTAATTAGGTTAATTCTTTGCGAGATACGAAAATAAATAAAAACAAACATAAAATTACCAAAAATGACAAATTTGAGTTATGCCCAAATCTGAATACTAGAAAACATTAAACCACTCCAAAACAGACAGTGCTAAAATGGATTTCCCAAAATAAAGTTATTGCTAAAACAGAACTTTCCTAAATGATTGATTTGAGGGCATAAACACAAAAATTTGGCTAAAATCCACCATGCATCATCGCCGAGGATGGGGATGACTTTGATTTAAAAGTTGTTTGCGATCAGACTACCAAATTTGGAAATACTTTGAGCTCAAATTACATTTCACCATCAATTTGACATCTTTGTCTTTTTCCTGTTCAATTGGTCCAAGAATTCTCTAGCTTCCTGTTATACTTATACATCATTTTTAGTAAGCAAATAAAGCATTGCTGCATTTGTTGCTTTAATTGAGGGCCTTTTAAATGGTAATTTTTGGGATATGAAGCCCCAATTTCAATTCCATAATGCAGTTTCTATGTCTACCTGCATATTCTGAATTCAAGTTTGTGGAGATAATTCTAAGGAAAACAAAATAATTCAATTCCACCAAATTGAAAGCCTATAAAATTCGATGCCTTTCAGCCAAATGCAGTCCTAGATTTCTCGAATTTGTTGATGTTATTCAGGAGTTATTGGCAATCGCGATTCCTTCAGGCCAGATTCTGCATCTGTTGTGTCAAGCATCAAGTACCATGCGGAATTCACACCGTCATTCTCTCCAGAGCAGTTTGAGCTTCCTAAGGCGTTCCACGCAACTGCGGAAAGTGTTCGTGATATGCTCATTATAAATTGGAACGCGACATATGATTATTATGAAAAGATGAATGTAAAGCAGGCATATTATTTGTCCATGGAATATCTTCAGGTTTCTCTGCGTTTCCAATGGGTTACTGCAATTCAAACACATTCTTCAATTATGTTTCTGATGCGAATGTATATTGTTTGATTTCGCATTACTTGTTGCAGGGTAGAGCATTGCTAAATGCAATTGGTAATTTAGGGCTTTCAGGGGCTTATGCAGAGGCTTTGAGAAAGCTTGGGCTCAATCTGGAGGATGTAGCTAGGCAGGTGGGATAGTTTCTTTCATGGAAGATCACTATATTTCATACTCTCATTCCACTTGACCATTGGAAAATTGTGGTCTTGGAGTTTTGCTGAACGTATGCATATTAGACCATATTGATCCTGTTCATATTAGACCATATTGATCCTGTTTGGTGTAGCTGTTAAAACAGATTATAGATTATAGATTAACAGATTATAGATTATGATTTTAATCAGAAGCTGTTAATCTGTTTAGTATAGCTGTTGGATTATAGATTTAAGTTGTTGAGTAGTGTTTGTTAAATAAGTTGTG